AAAGGATCAAATTTACAGCCCAGTAACTCTGGGCTGCTAATATTGTCATCAAAAGCCCACTTATGAAAATCGATTGACCCACGATGTCCACAACAAGTTCGATGAAATTCAGGATTCTTCTACTAGGAACTGGGAAATTTATTTTACTTAATAACTCGGTCAATAATAGATCAGATTCACCAACTTCCATAATAATACATATGCCAAGGACCAAACTATGATACTCAAGGGTCATGAGCCGGTCTTTGGCCCAAGCACCATAATCCTTTTCCTCCCATCCGAGTCCCATTTTAAAATCACTTAATTCAAGAACCTTTTATTGGAACTTTTCCAATTTGACTGAATAAGTCTGCAAAATCCAAGGAAACCAGAGGTACAGTAGTCAGAAATACTCCTAACAATACCAAAAAAGATTATTTTAATGGTTTTCAAATTTGTAAAGTCTGACGTGTTACTTTTAATGTCCTTTAGAAAACACTTGCTCAACAAAAAATGTTGGTTCATACTTCATAGTCAAATACTACGACAAGATGGTTCATTTCAGAAACTTTGTCAACTGCTGTGCCACCCAAAAAATAAGTTGAAGCCCCTTTTTATCTTTATAAAAATAAATATAAATTTTTTTTAAAATGTATTAAGGTTTAAATTATTAATAAAACACCGGTTCCAGAACCATCCAAATCCTTTTGCAATACATAGTTCATTGTCACCAATGCAGTTCACCGTTCTGAAAAGTATAATATCATCGTCAAGTAATAAAAACTGAGAGCACTGAATAACATTGCTAATATAAAACAAGAAAAGAAGAAGACCCAAACGTGACCCTTGTGGGACCCCCGTAATAGCAGAAATTCGGCCTGACACCTTACGAATAAATTTAACAAATAGCTTTCTATTCTCGAGGTAAGAATGTACAGAAAACAGAAGTCGTTTCTAACGAGGAGTCAGATTGACTCCCTAAAATTTACTTGTGTTTCTAACTGGGTGTTTCTTTGACTCACTTCTTTGTACATAATAATCGCTTACCGTCATCCTGGAAGAAGTAAATGTCAAAATGACTTCAGTTATTATTCCCAGAAATTACTACACATAAAAATATGAATTGTTTGACAAAATTGTTCAAATCTTAAATCACTCTCTCTGTTAGCTTATTACGTTACGTGCGTCTACATTTTAGCTGTTTTATCCAATTCGTACAACTTTTAAAATCCTACAATTTTCCGCTTAGAGCCTGTTTTATACAAATTGTTCAAATCTGATCCTCTGAATCAAGTAAAAAACTGTACTAAAACTATATTTAATATAATTAAAATTAATAATTATATAGTCTTATAATAATATAGGTAATATTAAATTCGAGGAGGAGGCTCGTTTTAACACGCTTTCACCAATAAATCCTGGCATATGCATTTGCGTCATCGATAAATCCGATAATTAAATCCGTACGAAGCCCCTTGAATTTGTTAACGAGCTTACGAGAGCTCTCATCTGATTAAAAGATCGAACCAATCTTCCCAGAGTCAAAGCCCATATGGGATCTCTTTAAAAGGCGATCGGTTCTGAATGGGTCGTAACAATGAAACTTTGGCACCTTGCAGAAGTATTCGTGTGTGATTTATCACGCGATAGCATTGAGTACTTGCCTAACAGTTTAATTCCTTCCAGGGGTCGATAAGGCTTTCTCATTTTGAACTATATTGGTGTCACTCTGGATGGAATCGATACTGACAGTTCAGGGGATTGTATAGATGAAAAATGCATGCTGTAGATATTGCATTTATTATTTATTACTTGAAAATCCTACATGATAATGGCTTAATGTTGACATTTTTATTTCACATTTGCATTATCTAGCTAAAGATAGTTAGCTACATCTCAAAAATGGGCATTATCATAAACTATTTATAATTGGGGTTCAAGGTATTGAAAGTTATTTCCAGACTTCGTAATTACAAATAAATCTAAGAAACATTTACATTGTTTTGGTATGGTTTATGTCTCTCTGTCCCTTTGTCTCTTAATGTTTATGTGTATCTATCTACATCTTTATTTCTTAGTTTTATGTCTCTTTGTTTTCTGCCTCTTTGTCTGTCTCACCCATCGTCCCCGAGTGCATGCGATCATCATACGCCCCTCGCAAACATATGGTGTATCGTTCAGCATGCGAGAATGCGGAGATCATGCCTACTGGCCCATAAAAATTCTCTAGTCCTCAATCCGTCCAAATCCACCGCCATAATTATCGGGTCCAGGCAACTCCTCAATTCCCTCCCCAGCATCCCACCTCTCATGCTAAATAACCATCCCATCCCCTTCTACTCTTCGGTTAAAAATCTAGGAGTAGTCTTTGACCAAAACCTTTCCTGGCATTCTCACATTTCCCAAATTTCCCGCCATTCCATTGCTTCCCTCAGCCTGTTTCGTCGGTCCTGGCTTCTCTTACCTTTCTCCACCCGCAAACTCCTTTTATCTTCCCTTATACTTTCGATTATAGCTGTTTGGCATATGGTGGTCTCTCGGAGAGGGAGAACGCGCGATTGAAGCGTATTATGAATTGTTGCGTAAGATTTGTGTACAACATCCCACGGGGATCCCGGGTGTCGAGGTTGTATTCCCAACTTTCCTGGCTCTACCCCCTCCTTCCGTACACAGTATTTCCTAGGTTGCTTTCTTTTCCAGTCCATCCACACTCGTCGTCCTCCTTACATCATCCAATCCCTCCAATTCAACTCCTCACAATCGATCTTATCCTTCCGCAACATACAACCCATACCTCCTTTCTGATCCGAGCACCTAAACTCTGAAACTCCCTTCCCCTTTTTATTCGACATGCTGCCTCCTTTTCCTCCTTTAAATCCCACCTGTATAATCACCTCCTCTCTCTCCAAGCAGAGACCTCACGTTAACATTTGTTATTTTTGTTTAATATTCTTGTAATTTTTTCTTCTGTCCTGCCTAGTTGGTATACATTGTGCCAAGATTTTTATCTTTTTTTTTTACTTTTAACTTCATAAAAGGAACTTCCTTTATTTATTTCATGTAAATTATTCTTAAGGGACACCAGTCCCAGAATAAAGTTATTTTTATTCTTCTTCTACTGCGTCCCATTAATGGTGCACATCGGCCGGAGGTGAGGGTCGGTGAATTGAAGTGACACTGACCACTACTATAACCTCTCCCATTCTGATGCGACTTCCTGCCTTCCCGTGGTGGCCACTTTTCGGTGGCCTTCGGGGGACCGAACTAAGGGAGGCAATTATCCGATGAAGAGTAGCAAATACGATACACGAGTAGACCTTCGGCTGAGGGAGGGCGCAAGCGAAAAGCCATTCGTCTCTAATAACAGAAGGCTTGATGGTCGATAGCCGCTTCCCTGAAACAATAATGTATACCATCACATCTAGAGCATAAACAGGAAGAAACCCTTGGAATTGGGCGCAACCTGAAAAGGATAGCTTTATAAAACCCTTCTCAATCCTTTGCTCCTATGATTATTCCTAAATACTTTTCCCAGCTCTTTGTTACACGTGGTTCCAGGCGCAAAATAATCGTGTAGTCTAGAGGGCTCGTGACAAACTGTTTTCGAATACTGGTGAAAGAAATCATCAGTAGGCGAACGGCAAGTGCTTGAGCGGTCTCATAGGTGGGCCAGTGAACCGTAACCTGCCTGAAAAGATAGCGGACGGGGCATGACCGACGGAAGTACGGGTCAAGCAAGTCACTCCAAGCCCATAGCTTAGAGTGGTTCGATGGTGAGATTCCGAGAGGGTACTTAGAATTTGATGATGTTGTTCAGGTGCTCACGTGTAATCAGAAAGCTTTACTGAACAGCTGGGCTCACCTTGGGGTAGTTATCATTCCACTTAAAACGAAAGTCAGTGACGGCCTGTCGTTCGGCAGTTCTTAGCTGGAGGAGATTCGGGGATGATGGAACTGCCAATTCCATCGTCGAGAGTACGCCAGGAAAGTCGGACAGAAATCATGAAAGTCCTTTGAGCTGATCAGGTGCATCAATACTGATCTGCCTGTCGGAAGACACAAGTGGAAAAGAAATTCGTCTTGATCCTTAGGGATTGAAAAGTTTTTCTACTTGGGAACTTAGAGTCGCATCCCATCTTGTTAAATACAAACGTCTGATAAAGCCACGTGCCAAATACTGACGAAAAAGAACATCATCATCTCATAGGCGAAGCCACTCCTACAGGGACCAAATGTCTAACTAACGTCTCTTTGTTTCTTAATGTTTATGTCTATCTCTAGCCTACATTACCATCTCAGTTAATTAGTGGTCCACATAGCTTGCTCTGTTAATTTCTTTCACAATTAGAACTATAATTAACTAGAATATATATCTCAAAAGTAATTTTACCATGTATATAAAGTTATTTTACCATATATACATGGGAAAATTTGAAAATTGTACAGCTACTGTAGTTCAACATGGTGCAACTGTAAGTTGAAAAAGCTTCACCTGCTCTTTTGTTCGAATTGTAAATATCAGGTGCATAAAGAGTTATTATGCTAAGTTAGTGCATTCTATACAAACACATACACATCACTTAGATAAATTAATTATCTTTTCCTGTGATCTGGTAGTTTACATAGTTGTGGTTTTTAATTTAACCTTCACGTTCCAATTTGAAATGGAGAAAGGTAAATGTCGTCCCTCGTGAATTTGCCCAGAGATAAACAAACCTCGGTGATGGGAGCATTAACGACTCCTCGAGGGGTTTATTGTCGATGCGGAGGAAATCCTTTCGGGGATTCCGGCCCAAACAGAACGGCTTGTCAATGTAATTGTAGCACGGAGCTTATTTAATGTTTACTCTTTTCCTATTTACACCGATGTCGTCTTTCATTACGTTGAGCGGCTGGAATATGACTCCTGCTTGCACAACGGGGATATGAAACGTTGCACAACACACGATCGACGTGTTTCGTAACAACATAATAATCTGTTCGGTGCGAGCTTGTAAACCTTGCGGAGGTTCAAATTGTATATTTTAATCCATTAACTTTTATAGTTGTTGCCTTATAGCATTTATTAAGAAATTTTGCCCTTTCTGGCTTTAATGTCATCTCAAAGACTTATAGACAAACCTTCGCTGTTTCCAACGCAGCACTGACTGTATGGATCCCCAGGTCTTGTCCAGACGCTATCTTGGACTGCCCGTCACTCCCCGCCATGGGTAAATGAGACATTTTTTCATTATTTCTTATTTCACCATTGATGTTTACACCAAAACATTTCGCTACTTATTATGCTATAACAGTAGCCAGGGTTCAGGATATATTTTTGTGCTCAAACAGCGTTGTTTAAGCTGATTGATGAGGTCTGAAGGACGGTGGCTTTGTCACTTATTGGTGCCTCTCGTTGCTGGGCCTTCGATACGGTTGATTATACATATATCATCCTTTTTCAAAAGACGGCATCCCTTGATTTCTTCAGTTTAGTTCTAAATTGGTTTGTGTCTTACTTGTCAGAACCGAAACAGGCGATCATGGATAAACAAATTGGGATCAAAACAGGCGACCACCTACACTCTCTTCGCTCATGCCCTCCAAATCTACAAGCGATGTTCAAAATCTGATATTGAAAAATGTATCACTGGACAGCAATTCCAGCTTCTTACTTACTTTAAATATGTTGTAATTACTAAAACGATAAAAGTATACATAGCTTGAATTAAACAACAAAATTCCGTACGTACGGAACAAAGCTGTAAGTCGAACGAAGTTTTCTTTCTTTGAGTGTATAATTTGTTTTTCATGTTTAGAATAGTCAATAATAAATGCTGACATTCGTCCTCTTTCCAACCTTGGTACTGTTGCGAGGAAAACATTAATAAAATACATACAAAAAAATGAAATTACTAACTTCGAAATAACCATCCATACAATTTGGAGTACACACTTTAATCAGTAAACAATAAAATTATATTGTCCACCTTATATGTGGTAATTTTTTTATAAAAATTAAAACTTTCTAATCTAAAATAATCTGCACATTTAATAGTGTCAATTTAACTAAACTATTTATTGATATTTGGATTACATTTATTTAAAAATTTATTCAATATATTTAAATTATGACCAATAAGGAAAATTATAATCTAAGAATTAATAATTATAATATAAAATAATATAAAAATAAAGTAATATTATTGACCTAGTCAAGGCAGTAACGCAAATCTTTGGATCGGCAAGTTGCAATTTTAATAAGGTCTTCAGCAAGGACTCCGTGGCGCAACGGTAGCGCGTCTGACTCCAGATCAGAAGGTTGCGTGTTCAAATCACGTCGGGGTCATTTAATTTTTTATAAACGTCATTGTTTCAACCTATTTAAAAATTTTGTAACGTTTCACTCTTTATAATGTAAAATTTATTTCAAATGTTTATAGAGTGACAATTTACAACGAAATTTATTATTTCTTTGAGCGCGGCTGGAGGAAGAACGTTTCCGTTGCAGTCAAAAGAAAACGCCTCGTAGTGCCATTGTCTCGACATTCATCTCAATTATGATTTTTTATGATTCACAAGTATACTCCTTGAGACTGCTAAATAGAAATTAAGTCGAAGTTATAACTCGTTATTTGATCGTTGTTCTCAGCCGAGAGGGCAGTTACAATTTCCTTCTTTAACGGTCATTCTATTATCTTTCTAATCGGCTGACAATGCAGTTGGTAAAAAACACACAAATGAGCCAATTTTGAGAATATGCTTTGAAAGGGATTTTTGAAAATTTAAGTTAAACTGTTAGTTTGCCCAATGGCTTTCTCGATTTTCTCTGAGTGCGAGTGTTAATGGGAAAGATGCGGATCTAGATTTAATCATAGTTTTAATTTAGCTTGGTTTTATTAAGTATAAGAATTTGATTAGTTTTTATTTTATATTCTCCAGTCTGGTGATTAGTTGACGTTGATGAAACCGAGTTGTGAGTGGCATGCAAATGAAGCGATTTATTATTCGAATCGTTTATCCGAACGGTTTTGTAAATTAAACTGGCAGGTGTATTTTCAGAAAATATTATTACCGTCAGCGAATTCCTTTTTTGGTTTATTTATGACACTAAGTCAAGTGTGGCGATATAAAATCGATCGAACAGAGAAACATCGCGGTTTAAAAGCTACTTAATATCTCGAGATGGATCTGAAACTTGATGGTGCATATAACGCTTAATAAAAATGTTTATTATTAATGTTCCAATGGCCAATTTGCAAATTGCCGACTTATACGCGACACTTTAACTAATGATCTTGCTGTTTTAATTGCTAGACCAACCAAAAAACAATAAAACTTTGGATTTCTGGGACAATTGTATTGTATACAGTTACAGTCTTTGGCAATGTTCGGACTGTGGTCTTAAAGAAATTTTAAATCGTCTTTTAAAAACGTAATTATGTTTCACTTGTAGACCTATTTAAGATTGTTTTGCCTTGATGAACAACTCTGTCTCCTATGAGGTCTGGCATGTCATCCAGAAATTGAAAATCCCCGCCATTGAGATCCCTGGTTGGTGGGATGTAGTGATGTATCCCTTGATAATTTTTTGGATATAACGGTCTGAGGTGAGGTTGCCTTTAGCAATATGGAGTCTAGTTATTCCTGAACTCCTCCAATAATCCCAGCCGAAATCGTTGCACCGCCTTCTCCAAATTGCAATGAAGAGACCACGAACTGGGGCATTGCACGGATCCCCTGTTCTGATTAGACTCTTCAGTGCATGTCATCACTATACAGACAGAAACGCGGCTCATCAGTAAACATAACAGCATTCCAATTGGTGTTATCTTCTAGGCGCTCGCTGCACCATATTCTCCTGAGTTGCCGGTGGCGGGCTGTTGCTGCAGGTCCTCTCAAAGGGGCCTACGATGTGAGGCCAACTTCCCACGAACGATTCCTGATAAAGGCCTTGCCAAAATGTCTTGTACTTCATTTAGGACCTGGCTGGCACCATGGAAAGGGTTACATCTTTCAGCAATGACAATATTTCTGTCTTCCCTTAGCGATCCACTACCAGGCCTCCAATTGGCACTTCCAATCTTTCGGGAGACAACGCTCTGAGAGACACGAAATGCCTCTGCGGTATCCACTTGCCAGTGACCTCGATGACTCATTCCAACAATAATATTGCGAACTTGTAGTTCAAGATAATGTCTTTCCAACGATTAAAGAGAATACAATTGGATTAAACTGTAGAAAAGATGAGAAAAGGTGTTTGTTTACAAAATGAATAATCTTCATGTTTACTATTCTTAAGAAAATCCGTTATTGCGGATTAACAGTTGTTTGTTTTTGGTTTGTATTTTCTATTTTGTTTTAACCAACTAACAAGAATATATCGGATAATTTAATTAAAATTAATAGAACAAGAATAAATTACAATTATCCCTACTCATTTTTGAGCAGTTTACAAAATAAGTAGGTTGGTTGGTATTTCGGAAGATAGTAGTTTTGCTGTTCGGTAGGTAAGTAATGTAAGTTTGAAGTGGTTGGTTGGCAATACGTTTTGTAGGTAAACTGATACATAGGAATGTTGATTTTAGATTCGTAAATATAATAAAACATAGTTCAATGACGCTGAACCTTAGTGGCAAATATAGTAAACAGATTTAAGAGACACATATCATAGTTTTTTTTTAATTGCAACTAAAATGTATTATAATAGTGGAAAGACAAGTCGATACATCTAACACTTTAAACAGAAATTGAACGAAATTGTTTGTTTATTTCCATAAATTTAGACAATATCATATAAAGTTGTGGGAGCGTGTTTTTATAACATTGTGGGATTAATATGGGTATAAAAACTAAAATAAAATAAAATAATAAGTCTGTACCCGTTAAACATGAAAGATCCTTATATTAATAACAAATTAATGAATCGAATATATCTTATAAATGGTTACAACTAATTTAGTAAGGAAAAGGGAATATTTTCTTATGAAAGAAAGTAATTAAGTGTAAAGTTATTTTTTTGGTTTCCTTTTCACTGGACAAGTTGTGAAACGAACGAACACCGCTCCACAAGAATTTTTCACTAGCAGTTTTTTGTCTTGATAACGTCACACACTTTTATTTTTACTTTATCTTCTTTCTAAAGTTGCAAGCGACCGAGTAACTCCAAATCCCGCGTGGCTCTTCCTTAGGCCTGCCCCGTCCTCTCGTCTGCCTCCACAATCGTTGGAACTCTGCCTTATTGATTTTTATGTCGCTTTGGCGGCCTTTATGAAATGGCTTGTCGAAATCAATGATCGTTATCTGATTTACTCAAAACAAATCTTTTTTTTTTCAATCTATCTGGCCGCATTTAACAATCCACTAACGTAACATTTGAAAAATTTGTTCAATTGAATGTTTAAAAAGTATAGAGTTATATTTTTGTTGATATTGAAAACGGAAGATTGATTTAGGGTCTTATCAATATAAAAAGTCTAAGCAAAAATCAATCTGATTTCTTTCTCGTCAAGCCAAAAAGAAGTTGTTGATTTTGTAAAATCAGGGGTAATGAAGTAGCTGTGATTTTAAAGGAGCGATTCAATCCGTTATTTTTATCTTAAAAAATTCTATCAATTCGATGCTTTCTTCGGTCGTATTTATTTATGAGATAGGACCAATCTGATTGTTCATTTACCAAACGAAACCACGCCGAATTTTCATCATCTAAGTTCTACAACGTGAAACGCGAACGCGACTTCGGGGCTTCACGAACTTTCCCAGCGGTACCTCTCTACTCTAGCCGGTATTATAGGAAATTTAATGAATTAATCCTGGCTGATCCTATTACCCAAGTTTGTTACGGTAATTTAATTACTTTAATCAAATTATTAGAAAGAAATGTTCAATTTTACTTAAGATTTTCAAACCACACGCTCTATAAAGGGTAGTTCAAATTGATTCAGAACCAAATAGAAACCTAGTTTGTTTTAGTAATTCAATTTATTTTGTCCAGTTGGGATTTCGAGTCTGTTGTCCGGCCCCCCTTTGAAGATTTACATATAGAAATCGTCTCCGAATTAGGGGAACGGCGGTATCCAATCGGTGACCGCATATTGAGTAATGTCATTACCATAACGGCGAATGAGGTTTTACGAAGTGAATTAGTCTCCTCTTTGACATTGAGTGTTGTCGCCCATTGTCAGCTATAAGGACGTCCTTAACATCATCATTTCGATCGTCATCTGCCGCA